CATTGCAAGTGACATTGTCAGATAGACTTTTTTTTTCATTTTCCAATTGTTTTCTTCCTCGATGACATCATCATTGGGAGGTAGGCAAGTCACTAAACACATGGAGAAACTGAGGCACAGATGAGCGACTCGCCCAGTCACACCGCAAGCCAGTGACAAAGCCGGGAGTCCTGGATTCCAGTTCCTTGTTACTAACTGTTGGGCTGCACTGCCTATGTAGCTACTAACATGCCCTCCTGACAGGGAGAAAAACCTTCTAACACAGAAGCGTAGCAATAGGCCAATCAAGTCAAAAGGCTTATTGTACCAGAGCAAGTTCACCACAGGCCTTTCAGTAGGGTCCCCATGCACCGTGTGTGTAAGATATGAGATTTCCCCACAGGCTGATCTGGGATAGCTAGAATTGCCTGTGATAGGTTTATGGGACACTTGAAAGCATCTCTGCAGCATTCGGGTATCACAGGATGTGACTAGCCCACACCCTATCCACTAGTAGTCACAAGACCATCTGCCCAATTATTCCCACTTCCCTTGTGCCATCATTTATACCAGTGCAACATAAGCATGAATCAGAACAGTAATGTTCTACACCCAGTATCTGCATGAGCTGTAGGGCAACCAAGAATCAGGTCCCTGGGTTCAACTCCTGGCCCTGCTCCAAACTACCTGTGTGTCCTAGGGTGAATTGCTTCCCCGTTCCTCAGTTTCCCTACCGGGAAAACAAGGGAGCAGTGCTACTTGCCTACTATTTGCATAGTGCTTTGAGATCTGCATCTGAGAAGTGGATAAGTGCTAAACATTCTTATGGCTACAGGATTCAAGTCCCAGAAACCCCAGGACGTCTTCTCATGGGAGCTTCCCATCGGCACCTTTAACCCAAGCTGGCAAGCAGGTAGCTGTGATATTAGCGTGCTCCTGCTCTCGGGAGCCCACGCTTTCTAGAACGCTGGCAGCATCTGATTAACAGTTCCTGGAATAATTACCATCTAGCGGGGTTCGCTTACTGGGAATGCGGCAAAGAATTCTCTACTAATCCAGGCTGTGTCAGTAACCAATGGCCTTAACCCTTCGTAAAATGCCTTTGCCTAAGGCATTGTACACCTCAAAGGGCAGTCATTGTCCTAGGGGGAGGGCTGACATCTCTGACCAGTGGGCAACAGTGCAGCTCCCATCCCCTCATACCTGGCCCCCCTAATGTACTCCCTGCTGCATCTTCCCCCACCCCACCCTGCCTCAGATCTCATGCTGGGAAGCAGCAGTGGCAGTGAAGGGAGGGGAGGGGATGGAATCTGGCAAGGAGCAATGCTTGCCAGAGACTGCAGTATGGCAGGTGGGTGGCAGGGAAGGGATCTCAGGGGAGCACAGGGAGGAAGCAGGACAAGGAGATGCTTGGCTTGGAGGTGGAGGGGGGTCAGATTTAGGGTCCTGAAGGGTGAATTGGCCCCAAGAAGCCTGTATTTAAGAACAACCACAAATGTGGGGCTAGACCCCACCATCTGCTCAGCAGAAACCAGCAGGCTCCCTGGGCCCTGGCTGTGCAGGCCCTGCTCAAACCCACACTTCCCCAGGCTGGGGTGGGCGAAGGGAAGAGTCCAGGCAGCAGGTGACACAGCTCTACTGCTACGTCCTTGGGGAGCAGGGGCCACAGATCCACGCAGCAATGCACGGGAACGAATAGCACCTGGGCACTGACTCTCCGGGAAGCCTGCCGGCTAATATCAAATGGGTGCCCCAAGGACCTGGGTCAGTGATCAGCCCTCACCCCATCTTCTCAGTTACCCTGGAGCTCATGTGACTTCTGCCCAAGCCAGCATCCCTGGGCTGCAGGCCTCAGCTTCACACCGAGGTGTAGCCAAGCTGGAATCCTCTGGGGGGGTGTCTATACTGCAATTGGACACCCGTAGCTGGCCTGTGCCAGCTGACTCCAGGCTCGCAGGGTTCAGGCTAAAGGGCTGTTTAACTGTAGTGTAGACACAGGACCACTTCACAGGGTCCTAGAGCCCAGGCTCCAGCCCAAGCCTAAACATCTACAATCCAGCAAGCCCGAGTCAGCTGCCTGTCTGCAGGATGCCTCCCACAGCCCATGGGACTCGCAGCACCCACCTCAGCTATCTGCATGAGGCAAAGTGTGTCCTTGGCAGTAGGCTCTCCACAGCGTGAGCAGTGCCCTGTCATTACCAGCTCTGACTCCCGGAACCAGCTGCATCACACAGAGATGCTGATTTCACAGCCTTCCTCATCTCACACCCTAGAGGGATGGTGCAACCCAGTGACTCTTCCTCTGCTGGAATCCTGTCTGCCCTCACCTCCTCCTCCTCTAGTCGGCCTCTCCACTCCCTTGGCCCAGGTGGCTCTGCCTTGCAGGAGCCATGTGGGTTCTGTAACCTGACCTCCCCATGGGAAGGAGCTCACAGCGGGGAATGCAGTGACGTGCCTCACCAAGCACTGTCGAGCTGGGGCCCGCCAGGCAGGTTACTAAGGAGTCTGCTATCCATTTCAGGAATTATAATTGCAGGCAAGAAAAACAAGGTATTGAGCCACATGCAGAATTGCACACCCCTTTATCCCCATGTGTCCAGGGCACACAGCACATACACACACACACACGCAGGTTAGCATCAGGGTGTCCATCTGACACAGCCACACAAATACACACTTCCCCAAGTGTGGGGGAGGGATAGCTCTGTGGTTTGAGCATTGGCCCACTAAACCCAGGGTTGTGAGTTCAATCCTTGAGGGGGCCACTTGGGGATCTGAGGCAAAATCAGTACTTGGTCCTGCTAGTGAAGGCAGGGGGCTGGACTCGATGACCTTTCAAGGTCCCTTCCAGTTCTAGGAGATGGGATATCTCCATTAATCAATCTAATCAATCTACACAGCATGCTTATCAGCATCCGCTGGGCTTCTAGGCTCTATGGTAACACGGATGATAAATAAATGAATAAGAATAATGTGTCCATGCAACACAGCTCCATGAGTGCACAACACAACACCCACAAGCAGATTAGCTAGGTGCATTATGGGCTTTTCCCTCCCCGCCTGCCTCTGACACATCAGGGTACCAGATGCTTAGAAACAACAGTGCCCAAGACTGATATAGGACAGTGAATAGATGGCACAGTGGCCAGATCCAGTATTAAGTGGGATTCCATCTAATCTAGTATGGCATTTGCTGTGGGACACATGCACCCACACCTGACGAGCCGGGTGCACAGCACCCCCAAAGGTGTCAGGGACCCACCCAACATTCACAGCCCCCCTAGAGGTCAAGTTTTGAAGTCTGTGCTTAAGTGGCATGATTCTCACACCACAAGATACAAGCAGCCCTCACTGACTAGAACAGGCATCACCAGTATCCTGTGGCCAGAGAACAGGGCCCCGGGTTACCTGGCCTGCAGAGCTGACATCAAAGCCAGTGATCAGGTCCCCCAAGGCTTGGCATCTCTGCAGCAACCTGCCTTTGCATGCTGGGGGACCTAGAATACAGTGGAGGGAGAATGTTGTGTGGCCCTCAAAGGGGGCTGTGTTCCAGGCCTGGGAGATGACCCAAATTTTGGTTTGGTCCATGCATTCTGTGCCCACAGATCCATGCCCCCCTCCCCCAGACCAGCTAGGGCACACAGGGACATAACAACATGTGGCTCTTCCACAGCAGCTTTCAGCCCGGGATCTCAAAGCACTCGCTGAAGGCAGGCAAGGAGCATCACCCCATTTCACAAATGGGGAAACAGCCACTAACTCATTGGGGGTGGCTCAAAGCTAGGAACGGAAAGAACCGAGGCACCCCAGACCCCAGCTCTAACGATGACAACACACTCCTCCCCAGAGCCAGGCAGGGAACCCAGGCACCCCAGCTCTAACCACTAAAGTCACTGCCTTCTCCTGCTCGCTCCCCCCGCATGCAGTGCCACATGTCCATGGTACACACTCGCGTGCACAGCTCCCGGCCTCACCCTCGCGTGCAAGGCGGGGTGCGGGGGTCCCCTTTTCCTCCCCCCAGCCCGATCCATCCCTTGCCTTTGCCACCGCTGCTCCCCTCCCCGCAGCAGCGCCCCCAGCCAGACGCCCGCGATCACCAGCATCCCGCACAGCGGCGCCGCCTGGGCCCACATGGCCACGAGGGGAACCAGCGACCCCCGCCCCCTCAGTCCGCCCGTCCCCGGGGCTCCTGGGTGCGGGGCGAGCGGAGAGCCCCGGCCCCCGCGCGGAACAAAGGCAGCGCCACCCGCGGGCTTGGGGGCCGGCCGGAGCTCACCTGCGGCGCCGGGGGCCTGCAAGCTGCCCCGCTTCTGGAAGGGGTGCTTGCCCCGGGGGGCCGCGGCGCCCGCTGACATTTCGCTTCCGTGCGCCGCCGGGGACTCGGAGCTAAGGAGCCGGCGGCGGCCGGGGGCTCTTCCTGTAGCAGAGTCCCAGAGCTTGCGCGGCCCGCTCGGCCCCTCCCCTGGTTGATGATTGATGCAGCGAGCTCGGGGCTGGACCGAAGTCCCAGGCTGCCTGCCCTGGTGGCAAACCCGCGCGCCTCAGGCCCCGGGGACCGAGAAAGGGCGACCCCCTGCTCCCAGGCGAAGGGGCGGGGAGGTGCATGGGCTGGAGCAATGCATGGATAGAAATGGGGGGGGGCACTGGTGCTGGAACTAGGGGTGCTGAAGTAGTAATAACAGACACCAAATACAGGGTTTCCATCAGCAGCACTCTTGGGGGGCTCCTCCTAGCTTCCCCAACCAGGCCTGTCTAATCACAGCTGTTTCCAGACCCCCTGAGGCCAGGGGTCCCTGTAGCCCAGTCTCCGGTCTTTGCCAGAAGCCAGGGCCAGCAGCTTCAGAGGAGAGGAGAAAGAACCCTGCAAGGGGCAGTTATGGAATATGGGGGCTCCTGGCACAAGATGGGGCAGACAGACCTGCCTCCCACCCCACCCTGGTGCCTGCCCACCTCCACAAACACATGCCTCAGGGGTGTATCTGTGCCCACAGTGGCACTTACAGGCAGATCTACCCTCTCACCTCTGCATTTAGACAGGGATTGAAGCAGGAGAGGAGCAATCCAGGCCCCCCTGCCAGGGGTCTCCCACAGAACAGGCACCAGGTGATGATCCCATGCTGTGCTCCACAGCATGTTTCCTCTGAGGATCCTGGTGTACTCCACAGCCATTGCGCTTTCCAACCCACCCTGCTAGGCTCCGTTCCCTGGGGAAGCAGAGAGATCACATGCAGCAGTACATCGGTATCAGAGCCAGAATCGGAACCCAGTCATCCTGCCACCTCCACCCCCTGCGCTAACCACAGAGTCGCACTCCCATCCTGATCTGCAGGACAGGCAAATATTTACACTGCTTTACGTTCTACTTTCCCCCAAACAGTATTTTCAGAGGGCGTCAGTCCTGTCCCACACATTCTGCTCCGAGCAGTGCTAGAACAAGAGTCATGAAAAGGGGATCCACTGTGGAATAGGAACAGCACAGCTGGGACAGGTCCTCCCCACCTGCATTATCATCAGTAAAAAATACTCTGAAAAAGGCAGCATGGCCTAGTGGAGAGGGCACTGGACTAGGAGTTAAATTGCTGACTCTGCTGCTGGGTGACCTTGGGCAACACTTCACCAATTTCTGCCTCAGTCCCCACCCCCACACACACTTTTCCTGTCATATCTATTTAGACCAGAGGTCCCCCAAGTGTGTGGCACACTCCCCTAAGGGGGTGCAGAGGAAAGTCTGGGGGAGTGCAGCGGGACCCGGGTCAGACCCCACAAGGGTACGGGGGGAGTGCCACCTATCCCTTCTCCACCCCCTGCTGTGCTCCAGTCCCGCTCACAGCTGCATCCCCAGCCTCAGTGCAGCTCCATTAATGGCCCTGCACCAGCCCCAAGCCTCACCGCTGGCCGCAGGTCCCCACCGCAGCCCAGCTGCAGCTCCGCCCCCAGCCCTAGACCCACCCCCAGCTGCAGCCCCCTTATCTCTGTCCAAGTGGGTGTGGACAGGGGCAAGGAGGGGTGCGATCCTTAAAAGTTTGGGGACCACTGATTTAGACTGTCGGCTCTTTGGGGCAAGCAAGGACTGTCTGTTGCTGTGTGTGTGTGCTGCATCTGGCACCACCTGTGACACAGACATGCCCGGGCAGATATATTACCTCTGGGTCTGACCATCCTCTCGCTATTTCACTGAAGGGGATCGGGTGTCGAGCACTAGCTGATTTCTGGGTTATTGCACGATGTTTGTATGGGAGAAAGTTTTAGAGCATGTAACCTGCAGGGTGCTGGGTTTCAGGCCTGTTGAAATGAAATTTGTCACCTGAGGTGAGGCGGATCTCAGGGCAAACTCAATCAACAACACTGAGAACAATGGACATCAGGGGAGCCAGCCCTGTGTTTACCCTGAACCAGGTGCAAGCTTGAAGCTTTACAGAGATAAAAGAACCCCAAGAAATGTCTCTGAACAGGGGACCTCTGGGGGAAGAGACAGTCTGTAACTGTGCTGGAGATGAAGAGCCCCAGTGGTTATCCATTATGGAGGAGACACTCTGCCAGCTGGAGCATCTTATAAAAGGTGGATCTCAGCTTTGTGAACTGAACAAGCACTGAGCATTGGTTAAGGAATACCTTATTCCAGGAAAGGGACTTGTTAGTTGTTAATACATGTGGGCTCTAGACTGCACGTTACCTTTTCCTTTTACCTCATGTGTCCTTTTATTTGAATCTTTAACTCAAGCTCTGTTAAATAAACCAGTTTGGTTCTACACATCTAAGTGCTGTGAGCTAAGGAGAGTACTGAGCTGAGGAGCAGCTGGGGAACCGGGCATCCTGCATCCAAGGAGGCAGTGGATCGATGTGCCTTGCGGGTATCCAGAAGGCAAAGGAATCGGGCTCTCAAGTGTAACAGAGTGGGATATGTTAATTGCTAGCCCGCTGACAGAGTGGGGCTCAGGGAACCCAGAGCCCACAGCCCACTGCTTGCGGTACCAGTAGCCACCAGAAGTGGGAGATTTTCCCCTTGTGGGCACAGACAAGGCTCTTACCCCCTGTAAGCAGAGGGCAGTGATTTGCCCCAGACACCTCAGGTCACCCCAAAAAGCGTCATGCTGCCCTCACAGAAATAACAATAAAAGGAAGAATCCGGAGCTCCGTCTAGATGCTGATTCTGGCTCCAGCCTGGGGCTTGGAGATTTCACAACAGCTGGTTGTGTCACCTTTGGCTTGGGGAATTGCCAGTATGCCAGTAGCTAGGCTCTGCTCAGCTGCACTAGGAACCTTGGTGCCCCAGGGGGAAATGTTTCTATTTGCACATGTCAGAAACGAAAACCTTCGCAGGCCTTGTGTTAAACCCCGAGCAGGGGTGGAGTCAGGCCAGGGCCTTTGGCTGGAGCAAAAAGCGCCTGCGATTTCCAACCAGCTGCAGGAGAATTGCAGATTATTCCCAGCGAAGTGTGATTGAGGAGCAGGAAACGTGACACACAAACCCCTGGGTACTGGGCAGCCCCCTACCCTTGCCCCGGGTGAGAGCCCTGCCCCCCGGCTGCCTGTAATGTCCCTGCACGTTATGCTGCATAGCGTGTGTAGTAAACACCAGCTGTGCCTCCAAAGGGAACCGTTACCGCATGGGTTGAGCTGGATCCAAACCAAGACGTCAGTGGGATTAACACGGCCCCTCCCCCCCCGCACAGACCCTTTCCCTGCCCCCGCCTCTCCCCCCAGGGCCCAGGATGTTAGCGCCTCAATTCTTAACCGGGGAGCTGCAGATAACCGGGGGGGAGGGGAGGTGGTCAGCGAATAAGCGAGGCGGAAAGACAAAGAGGAACCAAACAATCAGCCTTTGTGCTACAGGAGCCGAGCGCCGGATCTTCCTCCAGGGGGGAGCCCGACCGCAGCCCGGCCCCCGCAGCAGCGCCCCCGCGGGCTGCAAAGCCGCCGCTGGGCTCTGCAACCTATGCGCCCTGCATGGGAGGGGATCGAGCAGCAGCGAGCCCGGTGAGCCGAGAGAGACAGGGAGGGAGGGCGGATCATCTCGTCGATTAAGAGAGGATGAAGGGGGGCCACCAATGGCAGCTTCAGAGTAACACAGAGCGGAAAGGGAAGTAAAGCGGGGGTGGGGGAGACAGTGATACAGAAGCTCCCAGCCCGGGTACCCCTCGCCCTACCTGAGGCCATGCTGATCCTGCCCTGTCGCTGCCCGGGAGGCAGGAGGCTAGCAGGGGCAGGCTGCCTGGGAAGCAGCGGATGAGCCTCCCACTGCGTGGGGAGAAGAAAGCAGGCTTTGTGTTAAATCTAGGAATGGAGCAAGGCCCGGACTAAATGCTCCTGCTGGTAGAAAATACAGTCACTGAGACAGGCTGTCCCAGCCAGGGTGCTCTGCTTGCCCTGGAATCCTGCCAGGGGAGGCTCTGGGCTACTGCTGGAGGCCAGTTTACTGCAGGCAGGACCCCCTCCCACCCCTCCAGCTGTAGCTCTAATGTCTGTGCCTGGAACTTTAGCTCTAATGCTAAGCAGGGGAGCTAAAGGAGAATCTCCATTAGCTATAAGCAGTATAGTGTTTATGACCCCCAGCTGAGCAGTTCTGAATCCATCCAGCAGAGAACAGCGGTGACACACCAGTGAGCTCATTATGCTACAGACATTAATAGCAGGATCTTGCAATTTTCAGCCCCCTCCCCCCATGAGTAATTCTTGGCCTCCCCAAATGCCCCTCCCCTACATCATTGCAGGGCCCTATTCAGAGTTGCCATTCTTCTCTCAGGGGTGACACCACTGTCTTCAGTAGAGTTTCACCAGGCAGTAATTTTGGCCCCCTGTTGTTTAAACCCCTTCATGGACTCACTCCAGCCCACCTCCCAGACCTGGGGCCAGATCCTCAGCTGTGGTAAATGGATGTGACTTCATCAGCATCAATATGACTAGAGCGGCCAAGGCCGGCCCTAGACTAAATGGCACCCCAGGCGAGGAACATCTTACACACACACACTCCTCCGCAGTCTTAGAAGTCATCATACATTATGTGTTAAGCAGGGCAAAAAAAGTAACAGTATTTCTTTTATATTGTTGTGTAGACAGGGGTTCGATAGGGATCTCTGGCATCTCATTAAATATGTCCTTTATTAGTCACTATTTACACCAAGTCTTAAAACACAAGTACACTTTCACAATTGCACAATCAAACAAGGTTCACACAATACCACAGCGGGGCTCTCACTTCATGTCTCTTCATTCTTACATCTCACTGTGGGCTGGCGACACCCCGCCCCTTATCTACCCGTGGTGTTCTAGGAGGTTCAAGGAAAATGTAGTTCTCGAAGTCTGGAAGGTTCCATGAGATTCTACATTCTAGGAGGTTAGTGACAAATGACTCCACCTATGGAACACCTGAAACATGTCACCTCAAACCTTCTCTTTTCCCTTTTGTCGCTAAAAACAAAATCAGCCGCCCGAGCCCAGCACCCCCTGGGTTGCCTGCCCCTAAATCCAAGCTCCTCCTCTCTCCTACTCCTGTGCTGGCCCCTCTCCTCTCTATGCTCCCATACAGTGTCCCCAGCACCGATGCAAGAGTCTCCAACTCTGCAGCTAACTGTCACCTGGAGCAAGAGCCATCTGGACTCTGCTCTGCAGCTCCTGGCCCTGTCTCTGCACTGGGTTCATTTCAGATCTTCACTGGACACATCTTTTCTGCCCCCACCCCCCCATTTCCTGTTACTGATCAACAAGAAAGTTGAGGTTCTGGGGGGGGGGGGGATAAATAAACAATAAAAAGTCCTGCCCCCCAGAGCCGGCTTTAGGACCTGCAGGGCCCGATTCAAATACCCGGCGGCGGTCCGGGTCTTCGGCAGCACTTCGGCGGCAGGGGGTCCGCTCCACGTCTTCCGCGGCACTAAAGGACCCCCCACCGCCGAAATGCCGCCGAAGACCCCAGAGCGGACCGCCGCTGGGTGAGCCTAAGGCGCGGTGCCCTCTTACCTGCGGGGCCCGATTCCGGGGAATCGCGGGAATTGGCCTAAAGCTGGCCCTGCTGCCCCCTCACCCGCAGAATCCATTTCCAGCTGTTCTTTGGTTTCTCCTGCTTTCGGCTAGAGCTGCTGAGCAGGAGATGCAGAGGGCGTTGGGGGACAGTAACGGGCATAGTCTGTATGTGACAGGGAGTGATCACCTGGTAGCAGAGGGGAGAGCATGTGTGGGGAGCAAGGAGGCTGGCAAGGATGAGGAGGTGAGTGGGGAAGGGAGGAAGCAGTGATGAAGGGAAGGGGTTGGCTCCCCCTCCTGGCCGTGGATCCAGGGTGAGGGCTCTGCATTCAGTGCCCCCAGGTAATCCCAGGCACCAGCCTCTTGCACCCGTTGAGTCACTCCCACTGGGACCCAAATCCCAGGGCCAGCACCACATACCGAGTTCCACCGTGTCCAGGATCTGCCCCCAGGGACTGCGCAGGGGTAGGGGTGGGGAGGAGATGGAGACCAGCTTACTTTGAGCTCCTCCCCTCAGCCAGCTCTGGAGGGGGTCGAGGGGGGGCAGAGTGAAGCCCCTACACCTCTCCTGCCCCAGCAGCTGAACCCATGCGGCTGTTCCCATTCAGCTCCAAGGAGGCAACCACAGATCTCCCTCCCTGCAGTGTGGCTATTGTGGGTACTGGGACGGGCGGGCCGAGGCCTGCCCAGAACTAATGCTCTGTCTGCCCCCTTGGCGGGGGACGAGGAACCCCTGAACCCAGGCCACAAATGAATTTGTGGTGCAACAAATGAAAAACCAGGACTGGGAGTCAGGGTCAAAGGTTAAAAATCAGGGCCCCAGAAGAGGGTACCAAGCAGAGAACCCCGAGAGCGCCCACCACTGCTCAAAGATGTCAGTGGATGCCTCCCAGAAGAGGCATGATTGGACAAGGGCCCGGAAACAGGCCCAGATCACCCCCCATCCAGCTTCCTCCTCCTGGACTGATGGGTGGCTATCTTGGCCAGCACCAGGAGGAGGCAGATGAGGTGGTCTTACAACTTTGTGGGGCCATGGATGGGGTGTGCATAGATGAGGCAGGGCGGGGAAAAGTGCAGCCAGATTCTCAGTGAAGTCCTGGAGAAGCCAGAAAAGGGGCTGCAGCCTAGCACACTGCATAGATGTGTGCCAGGGTTTCTCTCTTGTCACAGAAGGGATGGGTGTCAGGGGATTCTGTGAACCATGCCAGACATATGCCCATGTTCATGGCTCCATGGAGGAGCCGCCAGCTAATACCCTCAATGGGCTGTGGAGCTAGGGTGGAACTTAGACTGTCACACTAGAGTATTGCCAGCAGATCGAGGGACGTGATCATTCCCCTCTATTCAACATTGGTGAGGCCTCATCTGGAGTACTGTGTCCAGTTTTGGGCCCCACACTACAAGAAGGATATGGAAAAATTGGAAAGAGTCCAGTGGAGGGCAACAAAAATGATTAGGGGGCTGGAGCACATGACTTATGAGGAGAGGCTGAGGG